TGCCTCGATGTTATTTGTACCAGGCAGATAATTAGCACTCAACCAAATGTTCCGACCAATACACCACTTCCAGATATTATGGGCAAGTTTGTTAAGTTCAGGTTTTTTGCCACCCATGGCATTGATGTACTTCACAGCTACAGTGTTGTCCATGTAGAGCCTAACATGAATATTCTGTTTGTCACTACAAAAACATTGCAATGTCAAATACCCTGCCTGTAATTCCAGGAAATTTATATGATCTATTCGATCTGTAGCATCCCACAATCCTCCAGTGGAGATGTTTCCTGTTTTGTTGACCCCTCCCCAGCCATAACTGGAACTGTCACTCTCTAGTATGATGTGGGGTTTTCCTTGAGATATGGATTTAAAACTGTTATCTATGTTGTCAATCCACCATTGAATATGTCCATTTGCAGTTTGAGACAGTGTCATAAAAGCATCAAAATTACCCTTATTCATTTTAAGTGCTGCATCTTTCTCATATTCTAATGTCTTATAGTAAAGTGCTGCATGAGTCACCCCTGCTGATGCCGCTACCATATTACCAATGACCTGGGCCAATTCCCGAATAGTCACTTTTTCCTTTTTTAATATATACACACATAATGATGCAAGTTTCTCACATTTCTCTGGGGTAAGTTTTACTGTCATGGTAACCGAGTCAAGTATAAATCCCAAAAATATGATAGCTTTTGTTGGAGTTAATACAGACTTGTTTGGATGTACTGTTAATCCAAGATTATCCATCAGTGTCACTGTAGAAGTGATGTTATGGTGGCACTCTTCCACTGAATTAGCCAACAATAATATGTCATCAATATAACTGACATTTACCAACCCCTGTTTTCTCAAGTGTGAAAACACAGGTTTCATAATTTTTGTAAACAGTCGTGGTGCTGTAGCTAATCCATTAGGCAAACATGTAAAGTGATATACTTTGTCATTCCACACAAACTGTAGAAATTTCCTATCGGATTTAGCGATGTTCACAGAGTAATATGCATCTTTCAGGTCCACTGACGCAAACCAACAATCCTTTCTCATAACATTGATAGCTGATTGCAATGTTTCCATTTTAAAATGAGTAGTGTTAACATACTGGTTAAACTGTCTCAGATTAAGAATGACCCTGTATGTTCCATCTTTTTTGGGTCGTAAAAATATGTTGGACATGTAACCATACTTAATTTCAAAATCATCAGTCACTAGTTCTATAACTTTTTTGTCTACAAACTTTATGATTTCATCCTCAACAATACCCATTTCAATGTGATTAAATGGGAGTGCCCGAGGCACCGACGATTGACGAGGAGGTTCACTGAGGAATTCAATGGAATAGCCTTTTATAGCTTCCAATATCCATCTGTCTGATGTTATCTGTCTCCACACATCCAAGCATCTAGATATTTTCCCAGCTAAGAAAGTTTCTGGTGTGTTTGTTACAGAAGAAAGTATATCATTACTTACAATAGTCCCAGATGTCACTGTCTTGGTTTCTTCTGGAACTTTTTGTGAAAATCCGCCTTTGTCTTTTGGTAGTACGGTTTTGGGTTGTTATAGGCTTTATTAACGGTGTATTTTTTATATCCCTGTCCGTTGCTGCCTCCAACTTTTGTGTACCCCTGGTCTCTGTTGAAGTTAGAAGAAGTTCCATGGTTATAGTGTCCTGTCTTTTGTCTTTTATAACTAGACTGAGACATTTTAATCCCCACTGATTGCGATTCATGGATATTTTTGATCTTAGCTCCAAGATCATCTCCAAACAACAGGTCAGTCACCTTGTTCGAATTGTTGCAAAGCTGTCTGAACTGTGGGTTCAGAAATGGTTTTATGCATTCCCGTCTGTAGCTACACATGTCGGTGAAGATCTGTGTCATTATGCGAAATCCATCTTTCACTACAGGTAGTAAATCACCAGGGTTTATCTTTTGTTTCCCCTTCTTAGCCTCCACTACAGTGTCCAGAATGTTCAGGATTGGCACGATGGCCTTACTGGTAAGGCCCTGTAATTTCTGTAGACCGGAATCAGTAGCTTTTGTTTTACCTGGTAGCTTCAGCCATATTTCCGGGTTCACCTTCGGTACGATTAAATTACCGACATTGGAAGGGCGATGGTATTTGTCCGAGAAAAGACTAGCCTTCTTTTCTGACACAGTAACTCGTAAGGCTTTGTTCGCTACATCTGCCAACTGTTCTGAAATCTTTGGGCCACATTCATCAGTATCTTCGTAGTACTTATCCAGATCTGCAAGATCTTGGTCGTCAGTTGCACTGACACTGTCTAACCGATCTAATTCGTCAAGCCTGTCAGAATCACCATCATTCTCCTCCTCTGATTCGATATCAGAAGTATCGTCACATGGCCTTGTCTGAGTTTCGGATCTCTGACCCTTGTGTATATGATGTACCGATGCGGAGAGTGAATTTATAGTTTTTGTTGGCTGTTCAAGCAGACATTGAAAGCTCCTCATGGCGGCCGCCATATTGGAGTCCACAGTCTCGGATATTCTCGTATCCGATCTCGCGGTATTCTCCTGTGTCCCGCGCGTAATCGGCATGGCTGAACTCGCCATTGATGATTTGGTCATTTTCACAAGTGGCGGTGGGTTCGTTTCTCGTGAAACGCATGGCGATCGTGCAGATACGCCTGGACCTAGATCATCACTTTCCTCGAACCGAGGAAACAACGTGATTAGGCCTCTCCCACTCGGGGCGCCTACTGGTCCGTTATCACATAAAACTATTCCTTTGTCCGCTATGACCCTTCCCGGGTCAGTAGTCACAGATGTAAACAGTGTCTCCACTTATCCACGTGTGATTAAAACCAACAAAAACAATATCACCGCGTCCGCGAAATTGTCGATATCGTCTGGTATATATATATAGAATGAAAATCCAATAAAATCCAATGCAAATGTCCTATTAAAGCACAAAATAAAATCTGAAAACTTTCTCCGTGTGGTCACTTCGAAAACTACGAAATCTCTGAATCACGTGACTTCTACGTCATCTCATCTCATGTGTACTCTCAGTAACGGCGCAGCTTATATAGTGGAATAAATAATCATCCTTTATTTTACTGATAAAAGCTGTACATCCTTTGTTATACTGATAACAGCTGTACATCATGTGTTATACTGATAACACCATGTACATCATTTCTTATTGCTGATAACACCCTGTACATCATTTGTTATACTGATAACAGCTGTACATCCTTTGTTATACTGATAACAGCTGTACATCATTTTTGATACTGATAACAGCTGTATAACCTTTGTTCTACTAAAAACAGCTGTACATCATTTTTGATACTGATAACAGCTGTACAACCTTTGTTATACTGATAACAGCTGTACATCCTGTGTTATACTGATAACAGCTGTACATTATTTGTTATACTGATAACACCATGTACATCCTTTCTTATCACTGATAACACCATGTACATCATTTGTTATACTGATAACACCATGTACATCATTTGTTATACTGATAACACCATGTACATCATTTGTTATTACTGATAACACCCTGTATATCATTTGTTATACTGATAACACCATGTACATCATTTGTTATACTGATAACACCATGTACATCATTTGTTATACTGATAACACCATGTATATCATTTGTTATACTGATAACACCATGTACTTCATTTGTTATACTGATAACACCCTGTACATCATTTGTTATACTGATAACATCCTGTACATCATTTGTTTTACTTATAACAGCTGTACAACCTTTGCTTAATCAAAATCTGAGTTATAAGCATTACTCTGATTGACTGTGTAATTTTCAAGAGAAAATTGACTGTTTTTGTCTGACACCAATATAATAATTCTTTTATAACTTACACGTAGATTATAGTTTGACGCTTGGGATGAACAATACGCGCCAACATCAAACACTGCAAGTCCGCATCCTGAATGAGGCGTGTTTAATAAACGACCCTAGAAAGGAAAAAAGTTAAAAAAAGTTATATGATTATAAATGCCAATAGCACAAATCACTACAAAATTTAATACGTCATTACCATATACATTTCTGTCCTCAGTAGTGTTATTTAAACCTCTTCTGCATGTGATTTTCACATGTCATAGTTGAGTCGCTTCAACAGAACCCTTAATAAAGTATCAACGTTGTGTAAACAGTTATGCATTGATTACAGACAAATTACGTAGACTTTTTTTGGCAGATACTTTTTTGAATTTATTTTACAGGACTTTACCTGATTATTAAGAGGGGAACAAATAAAACATCTTGTTATGTGTTTGTTCGTGATCACACAATTCCGGATAACATCTTGTTTTGTGGTTGTTCCTATCATACAATTCCTGATAACAACTGGTGTGTGGTTGTTCCTATCATACAATTCCGGATAACATATGTTTTTGTGGTTGTTCGTGATCACACAATTACGGATAACATCTGGTTTTGTGGTTGGTGGTGATCACACAATTCCGGATAACATCTGGTTTTGTGATTGTTCCTATCATACAATTTCGGATAACATCTGGTTTTGTGGTTGTTCCTATCATACAATTCCGGATGACATCTTGTTTTGTGTTGGTTACGGATCATTCAATTCCGGATAACATCTGGTTTTGTGGTTGTTCCTGATCACACAATTTCGGATGACATCTTGTTTTGTGGTTGTTCCTATCATACAATTCCGGATGACATCTTGTTTTTTGGTTGGTGGTGATCACACAATTTCGGATGACACCTTGTTTTGTGGTTGTTCCTATCATACAATTCCGGATAACATTTGGTTTTGTGGTTGTTCCTGATCACTCAATTCCGGATGACATTTGGTTTTGTGGTTGTTCCTGATGACTCAATTCCGGATGACATCTGGTTTTGTGGTTGTTCCTGATCACACAATTCCGGATGACATCTTGTTTTGTGGTTGTTCCTATCATACAATTCCGGATAACATCTGATTTTGTGGTTGCTCGTGATCACACAATTACGGATAACATCTTGTTTTGTGGCTGTTCGTAATCACACAATTACGGATAACATCTGGTTTTGTGGTTGTTCCTGTCATACAATTCCGGATAACATCTGGTTTTGTGGTTGTCCCTGATCACACAATTCCGGATGACATCTGGTTTTGTGGTTGTTCGTGATCACACAATTTCGGATGACATCTCGTTTTGTGGTTGTTCCTATCATACAATTCCGGATAAAATCTGGTTTTGTGGTTGTTCGTGATCACACAATTCCAGATAACTTCTGGTTTTGTGGTTGTTCCTATCATACAAATCTGGATAACATCTGGTTTTGTGGTTGTTCCTGATCACACAATTCCGGATGACATCTGGTTTTGTGGTTGTTCGTGATCACACAATTCCGGATGACATCTTGTTTTGTGGTTGTTCGTGATCACACAATTACGGATAACATCTGGTTTTGTTGTTGTTCGTGATTACACAATTACGGATAACATCTGGTTTTGTGGTTGTTCGTGATCACACAATTACGGATAACATCTGGTTTTGTGGTTGTTCCTGTCATACAATTCCGAATACCATCAGGTTTTGTGGTGGTTCCTATCATACAATTCCGGATAACATCTGGTTTTGTTGTTGTTCGTGATCACACAATTACAGATAGCATCTAGTTTTGTGGTGGTTCCTATCATACAATTCCGGATAACATTTGGTTTTGTGATTGTTCGTGATCACACAATTACGGATAACATCTGGTTTTGTGGTTGTTCGTGATCACACAACTACCGATAACATCTGGTTTTGTGGGTGTTCGTGATCCCACAATTCCGGATGACATCTTGTTTTGTGGTTGTTCCTGATAACGCAATTCCGGATGACATTTTGTTTTGTGGTTGTTCCTATCATACAATTCCGGATGACATCTAGTTTTGCGGTTGTTCGTGATCACACAATTACGGATAACATCTTGTTTTGTGGTTGTTCGTGATCACACAATTCCGGATGACATCTTGTTTTGTGGTTGTTCGTGATCACACAATTTCGGATGACATCTTGTTTTGTGGTTGTTCGTGATCACACAATTACCGATAACATCTGGTTTTGTGGGTGTTCGTGATCACACAATTCCGGATGACATCTTGTTTTGTGGTTGTTCCTGATAACCCAATTCCGGATGACATTTTGTTTTGTGGTTGTTCCTATCATACAATTCCGGATGACATCTAGTTTTGTGGTTGTTCGTGATCACACAATTACGGATAACATCTGATTTTGTGGTTGTTCCTATCATACAATTCCATATAACATCTGGTTTTGTGGTTGTTCGTGATCACACAATTACGGATAACATCTGGTTTTGTGGTTGTTCCTATCATACAATTCCGGATAACATCTGGTTTTGTGGTTGTTCGTGATCACACAATTCCGAATAACATCTTGTTTTGTGGTTGTTCGTGCTCACACAATTCCGAATAACATCTGGTTTTGTAGTTGTTCGTGATCACACAATTCCGAATAACATCTGGTTTTGTGGTTGTTCCTGATCACACAATGCCGGATAACATCAGGTTTTGTGGTTGTTCCTATAACACAATTCCGGATAACATCTGGTTTTGTGTTGGTTCCTGATCATTCAAATCCGGATAACTTCTGGTTTTGTGGTTGTTCCTATCATACAATTCCGGATAATATCTGGTTTTGTTGTTGTTCCTATCATACAATTCCGGATAACATCTGGTTTTGTTGTTGTTTCTGATTTTACAATTCCGAATAACATCAGGTATTGTGGTGGTTCGTGATCACACAATTCCGGATAACATCTGGTTTTGTGGTTGTTCCTGATGTTACAATTCAGGATAACATCTGGTTTTGTGGTTGTTCCTATCATACAATTCCGGATAATATCTGGTTTTGTTGTTGTTCCTGACATACAATTCCGGATAACATCTGGTTTTGTTGTTGTTTCTGATTTTACAATTCCGAATAACATCAGGTTTTGTGGTGGTTCGTGATCACACAATTCCGGATAACATCTGGTTTTGTGGTTGTTCCTGATGTTACAATTCAGGATAACATCTGGTTTTGTGGTTGTTCCTATCATACAATTCCGGATAATATCTGGATTGTGGTTGTTCCTATCATACAATTCAGGATAACATCTGGTTTTGTGGTGTTCGTGATCACACAATTCCGGATAACATCTGGTTTTGTGGTTGTTCTTGATGTTACAATTCCGAATAACATCTGGTTTTGTGTTGGTTCGTGATCATACAATTCCTGATAACTTCTTATTTTGCGGTGGTTCGTGATCGTATAATTCAGGATAACATCTGGTTTTGTGGTTGTTCCTATCATACAATTCCGGATAATATCTGGTTTTGTGGTTGTTCGTGATCACACAATTCCGAATAACATCTGGTTTTGTGGTTGTTCGTGATCACACAATTCCGAATAACATCTGGTTTTGTGGTTGTTCCTGATCACACAATGCCGGATAACATCAGGTTTTGTGGTTGTTCCTATAACACAATTCCGGATAACATCTGGTTTTGTGTTGGTTCCTGATCATTCAAATCCGGATAACTTCTGGTTTTGTGGTTGTTCCTATCATACAATTCCGGATAATATCTGGTTTTGTGGTTGTTCCTATCATACAATTCCGGATAACATCTGGTTTTGTTGTTGTTTCTGATTTTACAATTCCGAATAACATCAGGTATTGTGGTGGTTCGTGATCACACAATTCCGGATAACATCTGGTTTTGTGGTTGTTCCTGATGTTACAATTCAGGATAACATCTGGTTTTGTGGTTGTTCCTATCATACAATTCCGGATAATATCTGGTTTTGTGGTTGTTCGTATCATACAATTCCGGATAACATCTGGTTTTGTTGTTGTTTCTGATTTTACAATTCCGAATAACATCAGGTATTGTGGTGGTTCGTGATCACACAATTCCGGATAACATCTGGTTTTGTGGTTGTTCCTGATGTTACAATTCAGGATAACATCTGGTTTTGTGGTTGTTCCTATCATACAATTCCGGATAATATCTGGATTGTGGTTGTTCCTATCATACAATTCAGGATAACATCTGGTTTTGTGGTGTTCGTGATCACACAATTCCGGATAACATCTGGTTTTGTGGTTGTTCTTGATGTTACAATTCCGAATAACATCTGGTTTTGTGTTGGTTCGTGATCATACAATTCCTGATAACTTCTTATTTTGCGGTGGTTCGTGATCGTATAATTCAGGATAACATCTGGTTTTGTGGTTGTTCCTATCATACAATTCCGGATAATATCTGGTTTTGTGGTTGTTCGTGATCACACAATTCCGAATAACATCTGGTTTTGTGGTTGTTCGTGATCACACAATTCCGAATAACATCTGGTTTTGTGGTTGTTCCTGATCACACAATGCCGGATAACATCAGGTTTTGTGGTTGTTCCTATAACACAATTCCGGATAACATCTGGTTTTGTGTTGGTTCCTGATCATTCAAATCCGGATAACTTCTGGTTTTGTGGTTGTTCCTATCATACAATTCCGGATAATATCTGGTTTTGTGGTTGTTCCTATCATACAATTCCGGATAACATCTGGTTTTGTTGTTGTTTCTGATTTTACAATTCCGAATAACATCAGGTATTGTGGTGGTTCGTGATCACACAATTCCGGATAACATCTGGTTTTGTGGTTGTTCCTGATGTTACAATTCAGGATAACATCTGGTTTTGTGGTTGTTCCTATCATACAATTCCGGATAATATCTGGTTTTGTGGTTGTTCCTATCATACAATTCCGGATAACATCTGGTTTTGTTGTTGTTTCTGATTTTACAATTCCGAATAACATCAGGTTTTGTGGTGGTTCGTGATCACACAATTCCGGATAACATCTGGTTTTGTGGTTGTTCCTGATGTTACAATTCAGGATAACATCTGGTTTTGTGGTTGTTCCTATCATACAATTCCGGATAATATCTGGTTTGTGGTTGTTCCTATCATACAATTCAGGATAACATCTGGTTTTGTGGTGTTCGTGATCACACAATTCCGGATAACATCTGGTTTTGTGGTTGTTCTTGATGTTACAATTCCGAATAACATCTGGTTTTGTGTTGGTTCGTGATCATACAATTCCTGATAACTTCTTATTTTGCGGTGGTTCGTGATCGTATAATTCAGGATAACATCTGGTTTTGTGGTTGTTCCTATCATACAATTCCGGATAATATCTGGTTTTGTGGTTGTTCGTGATCACACAATTCCGAATAACATCTGGTTTTGTGGTTGTTCGTGATCACACAATTCCGAATAACATCTGGTTTTGTGGTTGTTCCTGATCACACAATGCCGGATAACATCAGGTTTTGTGGTTGTTCCTATAACACAATTCCGGATAACATCTGGTTTTGTGTTGGTTCCTGATCATTCAAATCCGGATAACTTCTGGTTTTGTGGTTGTTCCTATCATACAATTCCGGATAATATCTGGTTTTGTGGTTGTTCCTATCATACAATTCCGGATAACATCTGGTTTTGTTGTTGTTTCTGATTTTACAATTCCGAATAACATCAGGTTTTGTGGTGGTTCGTGATCACACAATTCCGGATAACATCTGGTTTTGTGGTTGTTCCTGATGTTACAATTCAGGATAACATCTGGTTTTGTGGTTGTTCCTATCATACAATTCCGGATAATATCTGGTTTTGTGGTTGTTCCTATCATACAATTCCGGATAACATCTGGTTTTGTTGTTGTTTCTGATTTTACAATTCCGAATAACATCAGGTTTTGTGGTGGTTCGTGATCACACAATTCCGGATAACATCTGGTTTTGTGGTTGTTCCTGATGTTACAATTCAGGATAACATCTGGTTTTGTGGTTGTTCCTATCATACAATTCCGGATAATATCTGGTTTGTGGTTGTTCCTATCATACAATTCAGGATAACATCTGGTTTTGTGGTGTTCGTGATCACACAATTCCGGATAACATCTGGTTTTGTGGTTGTTCTTGATGTTACAATTCCGAATAACATCTGGTTTTGTGTTGGTTCGTGATCATACAATTCCTGATAACTTCTTATTTTGCGGTGGTTCGTGATCGTATAATTCAGGATAACATCTGGTTTTGTGGTTGTTCCTATCATACAATTCCGGATAATATCTGGTTTTGTGGTTGTTCGTGATCACACAATTCCGAATAACATCTGGTTTTGTGGTTGTTCGTGATCACACAATTCCGAATAACATCTGGTTTTGTGGTTGTTCCTGATCACACAATGCCGGATAACATCAGGTTTTGTGGTTGTTCCTATAACACAATTCCGGATAACATCTGGTTTTGTGTTGGTTCCTGATCATTCAAATCCGGATAACTTCTGGTTTTGTGGTTGTTCCTATCATACAATTCCGGATAATATCTGGTTTTGTGGTTGTTCCTATCATACAATTCCGGATAACATCTGGTTTTGTTGTTGTTTCTGATTTTACAATTCCGAATAACATCAGGTATTGTGGTGGTTCGTGATCACACAATTCCGGATAACATCTGGTTTTGTGGTTGTTCCTGATGTTACAATTCAGGATAACATCTGGTTTTGTGGTTGTTCCTATCATACAATTCCGGATAATATCTGGTTTTGTGGTTGTTCGTATCATACAATTCCGGATAACATCTGGTTTTGTTGTTGTTTCTGATTTTACAATTCCGAATAACATCAGGTATTGTGGTGGTTCGTGATCACACAATTCCGGATAACATCTGGTTTTGTGGTTGTTCCTGATGTTACAATTCAGGATAACATCTGGTTTTGTGGTTGTTCCTATCATACAATTCCGGATAATATCTGGATTGTGGTTGTTCCTATCATACAATTCAGGATAACATCTGGTTTTGTGGTGTTCGTGATCACACAATTCCGGATAACATCTGGTTTTGTGGTTGTTTCTGATCACACAATTCCGGATGACATCTTGTTTTGTGGTTGTTCCTATCATACAATTCCGGATAACATCAGGTTTTGTGGTGGTTCGTGATCACACAATTCCGATTAACATCAGGTTTTGTGGTTGTTCGTGATCATATAATTCCGGATTACCTTTGGTTTTGTGCTGGTTCCTATCATAAAAGTCCGAATAACATCTTGTTTCGTGGTGGTTCCTGATAATACAAATCTGTCCTAGGGAATATAAATTGCTACTTCGGAAAACAAAGTTTATCATAATACATCTTATTATTGGCACGTTCATTATCGAATTGTCGTACTGAAGATATATGTTGAAGAAAGAAGGTGATAAGATTATTTATGGTGCCTTTAAGAGTTTTGAAAATTATATATTGCAACTAAATGGACAGTTATCACTAGTACCGACAGTAAGGTATATTTTTACTCTATAAGTGTTATAAGTCATAAAGATATTCAAAACATCCTATTTGCTGTTGTTACTTTATAAAAACAGTAAACATCCTAACTGCTGTTGTTACTTTATAAAAACAATATACATCCTTACTGCTGTTGTTACTTTATTAAATAGTAAACATCCTCAGTGTAAATCCTAACTGCTGTTGTTACTTTATTAAATAGTAAACATCCTCAGTGTAAATCCTAACTGCTGTTGTTACTTTATTAAATAGTAAACATCCTCAGTGTAAATCCTAACTGCTGTTGTTACTTTATTAAATAGTAAACATCCTCAGTGTAAATTCTAACTGTTGTTGTTACTTTATTAAACAGTAAACATCCTAACTGCTATTGTAAATTTATTAAACAGTAAACATCCGAACTGCTGTTGTAACTTTATTAAACAGTAAACACCGCAACAACTGTTGTAACTTTATTAAACAGTAAACATACTAACTGCTGTTGTAACTTTATTAAACAGTAAACATACTAACTGCTGTTGTAACTTTATTAAACAGTATACATTCTAACTGTTGTGGTTACTTTATTAAACAGTTAACATCGTTACTGCTGTGGTTACTTAATTAAACAGTATACATCCTAACTGATGTGGTTACTTAATTAAGCAGTATACATTCTAACTGTTGTGGTTACTTTATTAAATAGTATACATCCTAACTGCTGTGGTAACTTTATTAAACAGTAAACATCCTAACTGCTGTGGTTACTTTATTAAACAGTAAACATTCTAACTGCTGTGGTTATTTTATTAAACAGTAAACACCCTAACTGCTGTGGTTACTTTATTAAACAGTAAACATTCTAACTGCTGTGGTTACTGTTTTTAACAGTAAACACCCTAACTGCTGTTGTTACTGTATTTAACAGTAAACACCCTTACTTACTCACTTATGGAATAACTTATCTACGTCACTTGTTTTCTGAGGAAGCTCCTATACTTACATACTGGTCAGACTTTGTACACATGTTTTACCTTTCCGAGAAAGTCCCCACATTCACACACTGGTCCAACTACGTCATACACTTTTTTGCCAGCCGAGTGTCGAGTGGGTTCTGTGAGGTCGATGTGGTGGTACGCCCCGTACAGACTAGGTCGTATCACCTCCGTCATACTACCGTCAGTTACCAAAAAGCTACAATCAGTTCAGTTACACATACAGTTAATTGATCTATAATTGTTATCAGTGCAATCATCTCTTAACGTTTTTAATAATTGATGCCATTCTTAGTCAATTTTCAGAAAGTAAAACATTTTGAAATTGATTTCTATATCGACACAAACTAAATAATTTTGCAAGCAGTACTTAATTGCTATCCACAAAGATTACAAGTGTTCTCCATTCTATTATACACAGTGAAAGATCGATGTAAAATCTTGGGAGCACACATGATTTTCCTCTTTCCTCACTTTTTATCCCCACTTGTCTTGCAGCCAAGAACGGACGAGACGAGGATCGCAGCATTGCCGACTAGTGACCTCCCAGGCTCAAGGATGACCACCATGTCGTCATCAATCATGTCCGAAAAAGATGCCACCAAGTCTGCTGGGGACGGATTGGTTGACTAATATATAAAGATGAAAAATTGCCTGAGTTACAATAAAGTACATATTACCGGACTGAAACTGTCTAGACGATACTACAAGACTGTGTTAGTTTAATCGCTGTTCGATAGACACAATGATTGTTAATTTGTTTTACTTGTTTAGCAAACTTCCCGACTTATATTCGTACTCCTCATAGTTAAGATAACAAAGATTCCCATGTTTTGACGATTAACTGTTTTATTTTTAACGCGTGATATCCTCATAACTTTTATTCTATAAGGGGCTGGGTATATGAGTAAGTAGCTCTGAGTATGCATTATAATGTATATCTCAGCTGGTCCAAACGACCGATGAGCTTATGCCATGGCGTAGCTCCGATGTCCATCCGTCCCACAACTTTTCCTTTAAAACGCTACTTGTCATGAATGGCATGGTAAATATTGTCTACATTTAGCCTGGATGATCCTTGGGCAAAAGGGAATTCAACTTTGTATAGACGGAGGGTGTAACAACCCTGGGGACAGACTAATAGGAGAAATATAAGTAAATATTTAAAATCCTTCTCCTTCTGTACAAATGGAAGGGGTTAACTTCATTTTGTTTAGAACATTCTTTGGCAATTGAATGCCATTTGTATAAATGGAGGGTGTGGACTCTCTGAGTGCAGAGAAGTGGGGAACAATTAGGGGAATGTAGGTAAATCTTTAACCTCTTTTCGATATTTACTAATGGGGGATTTTAACCAAATGTAATATGGAGCATCCTTGGGCAAAGGGGACTCAATTGTTTTATAAATGGGGATGTGGCCATGCTAGAGGCAGAGATGGCCATAATAGGGGGAATTTAGGTAAACCCTTAACATCCTTCTTTTTCTGTTCGATTGGGGGTTATTAAGCGCATTTGGTGTAAAAACATCTGTGGGCAATATTGACTCAATATTGTATGAACGAAGAGTGTGCCCCTCCGCCTTTGGAAAACGGCATTAGGACCAGCAGGGGGAACATATGGATAAATGTTTGCAATCCATCGTCTTCCCTTTAATAGAGGGGTTAAAACACAATTTGGTATAAAGTATTCTTGGACAAATGCGAATCAGACGAAGGTGTGGTCCTCGACACCTCGTCCCCGGTGAGCATCATTTGACAAAGGGTCTCAAGTGCGCTATAAATTGAGGGTGTGCCCCCTCTCCACTGATAACAAAGGAGGGCCTTATAAGGGAAATAGAAATTAAATATTTTCCATCGATAGAAATTGAAGAATTTTAACGAAATTGGTTAGAACATCCTTGGGTAAAGGGGACACAATATAAACAGAGAACAGAGGGTGTTGCCACCCTAGGGGGAAGGGGGGGGGGGGGTTTAATGGGGCCTGAAGCATCCTTGGGCGAAAGGGACTAAATTGTGGTATAAGAGATGTCCCTCTGGGGGCAAAGGGTTATGAACCAAGACGGAAAGAAGAAATTCATTTAAGATTACGTGTATATTCCTTCTTTAAGAATGTAGGAATTTCTATCAAATTTGGTTAAGACAAATCTTTAGAGCAACAGTGACTCAATTTAATGTAAATGTAGGCGTGACCACCATTTGGGGAAGAGGGGGCCCAATAGGGTGAAATAGAGGTCACATCTAAAACCCTTCACCTTCTGTAGGAATGAAATATTTTAACCAAATGTTGTCTATAGATGATCCTTTGCCTAATACAATTCAATGTTGTGTAACCATAAGCCATGGGTGCCAGAGCGACAGAGCCAATATTTGGAACTATTTGCAGGATAATTTTTAATAAGAATATTTTGTCTATCTAAGTGAGCGATACAGGCCTTGTTCCTGCAATATTCAGCTTGAAAATTTGCAGCATTTTGTTTTCAAAAAAGCATTGATTGACAAGTATTTATCATATGTATTTTGCTCCTTACCCCTTCCCCTACCCCTGGATAAAGATGATATCACCAGATTTACATATATTGCATTTCAAGCCTGTCTTATGTTCAGAATGCTTCATTACAGACCTTTTCTCTACATGTTTTGCCAAAAGAATTACAGGCTTGTACATACTGAAAATAAATTTGTTCCAGATTATCAACTTAATTCCATACTTATTATGATTTTGGTAGTTGCACATAAAATATCATACAACTAGCTCAAAGGCGCCACATGTACGTCACCTTGTGTAATTCAACACTAGCTCAGAGAAACGTTAGAAAACTATCCAGTTACGACCAGAATTTTGAGGGAAATTGAACCATTTTTAGTTCACCTGAGCTTTAGCTCAAGTGACCTATTGCTATCCGTCTTCGTCCGTCGTCGTCCGTCGTGCGTCGTGCGTCGTCCGTTAACATTCTACATTTTCAACTTAAGCTGAAATACTGTTAAAGGGATTTCATTAATAGTTCATGGGAAGGTTACTGACATCTCCCTGCCCAAGTGTTGTTATTTTCCGGGTCGATCAGAAATCCAATATGGCCGCCACGTCCGCCATTTTGAAAAAAAAAATCAAACTTAAAGTCCAGTTCTGCTTGGCCGATTGAACTGAAATTTGCTAGGAATGATCGAATCATGGTTCTGACAAAGTGTTGTTATTTTGCGGGTCTATCAGAAATTCAATATGGCTGACACGCCCGCCATTTTGAAAAAAAAAATCAAACTTAAAGTCAAGTTCTGCTAGGCCGATTGAACTGAAACTTGGTAGGAATGATCGACTCATGGTCCTGACAAAGTTTTGTTATTTTTCGGGTCGATCAGAAATCCAATATGGCCGCCACGTCCGCCATTTTGAAAAAAAAAATCAAACTTAAAGTCAAGTTCTGCTTGGCCGATTGAACTGAAATTTGGTAGGAATGATCGAATCATGGTTTTGACAAAGTGTTGTTATTTTTCGGGTCTATCAAAAATCCAATATGGCCTCCATTTTGAAAAACTATTTCAAACTTAAAGTCAAGTTCTGCTAGGCCGATTGAACTGAAACTTGGTAGGAATGATCGACTCATGGTCCTGACAAAGTTTTGTTATTTTTCGGGTCGATCAGAAATATAATTAGGCTGCCATGGCCGCTATTTTGAAAATACCTATTTCAAACTTAAAAACAAGTTCTAATAGGCCGATCTAACTGAAAATAGGTCTAGGAAAGATCAGCTCATGGTCCTGACAAACTTAAGTTAACGTCATACTTAACATTTTTTTACTCAAATTGGTACATATTTCAACAACAAAAATAAATACTGAAGCACTCAGGTGACCGTTAAGGCCCAAGGGCCTCTTGTTATACATATTTTACTTCTTAACCCCCTCTTCCCACCACAATCAGGATAAATACCATACACATAGACTACATGGTTTACCGAATGGCCTTGGTTAGAGGTGGACGATGAACGGTTGTCTGCGGAAGGCACATCTTCATCTACCAATTGTTTCATTTCCATTTCGAAATCATATTGTGAAACGACATCTCTGTAATAGACAGTTCAATTGATCATGTTTAATTACAACAATGATATGAATCTTGAATCCAAACTTAAGTTCCCCAAGGACTAAACAAAGACAATGTAACGGCAACAATGGACACTATATTACACCATTATCTCATTGTGACGTCATGATAAAAGGTCAATGAGTGCTGCCATGTGGGATCCCAAATGTCAGTGCTGAATGAGAATAATAGTATTTCTCACTGGCTTGGGGTGAGATAGGGGAATCTCGACCAGAGGGAGACGATTTTTAAGTTGCAAAAATTGAGACTTTGCCTAGTGTTCGGCAACTTCAGAATCTTTCCGCGAGGGTTGAGATTCCCAATCGCACCTCAAGGGGTGACTTTTGTTTTCTTACCCTATTCACCCATTGTGTATCATATCCATAATATTATATTTACGTTACGTGCTTAATGCAGGGCTGATGTGACGTTGGTACATTATTTACGTGACGTGATACAGTTGCTATGTGTGGTTATCCCATTGAAGATTTTTATCACTTCTGCCTCCATTGTCCTTTTTATATGAATCAAAGACTATCCCTCATTAATTCCTTATCTGATGGAGTGATGATATTCCATTGAATGTTCAAACCTTTGTGTGTGGTTGTCAAAGGGTTGATGTTAATTTGAATTTATCCTGTTTGAAGAGATATACTTTGGATACTTAACGTTTTCATTAGATTATTTTCGTTAATTTTCTAATAAGTGTATTTGTTGTAGCGGGTTTTGGTCGGTTTGCCCTGGGGTTCCAGCTCAGAATGGTGAGAATGGTCTCGAGTTCATATTTGACCGACCGGCCCTTACTTGCAGTAACCGCTTCATATGACCTCTGATATACTATATAAAATATATTATATAGAAATTAAATGAGATACTATATAAGATATTTCATATGCTGTATAAGATATCTCATTTAAGTTTCTGTATATAGACAAGGATATCACACATCGAGAAAAGTTATGAACGGAAATGATCATACATTGTTTTATAGTCTCTAAAGTTAAAAAGTCTTCGCTTCTTCTTGGAATCGACTATATTATTACAGGAGGTTTGATGCCTATCAATATGCATGCATTTATTTGTTACAGAAAGAAATGTGTCACTTTATACATCTTTGTCTGGAGGCTTCGTAAAACTTGTCCACACCTTTCTGAGGAGGCAGATTGTTGAAATGTTTCAGTATCACCATGTTTAGATATTTCCCAGATAGGTGGTTGCAAACACGGAGTTGTTCTAGCAGCCTGAAATGAACCAATCGAGAAAAAAAAGATTTTTGGCATAACATTTGTTTTGGTATTTTTAGGAAAATGAATATATTGAAGATCTATCAAAAGAGTGAGTTTAGTTTCGATATGATTTCATTTCAGAATGTTTGTCCTTGGTTGATTAAATTATCACCAATTTTAATATTTACAAAAATTAATAAACATTTTCACTAAAGAAATAAATCGAATTTTAGATACTCACGTGTTTATCGTAAGGTATCCCAAGCCCACCTCCAATATTTAAATACTTTAACGCTGAAAATTCATTCTTTAACTCTTCGAATTTTGCAGTCATCAGTATAACACTTTTCCTAAAAATGAAAATCAAAGATACATCGATGTGCAGTACAGAACATACACCAACTCTACACCCATACCAACTCTACACCAACTGTACACTCATACCAACTCTACACCAACTCTACACTCATACCAACTCTACACCCATACCAAATCACACCAACTCTACACCCATACCAACTCTACACCAACTCTACACTCATACCAACTCTACACCCATACCAAATCTACACTAACTCTACACCCATACCAACTCTACACCCATACCAGCTCTACACCAACTCTACACTCATACAAACTCTACACCAACTCTACACCCATACCAACTCTACACCAACTCTACACCCATACCAACACTACACCATACCAACTCTACACCCATAACAACTCTACACCAACTCTACACCATACCATCTCTACACCTACTCTACACCCATACCAACTCTACACCTACTCTACACCCATACCAACTCTACACCAACTCTACACCCATACCAACTCTACACCAACTCTACACCCATACCAACTCTTCACCAACTCTACACCCATACCAACTCTACACAAACTCTACACCCATACCAACTCTACAACAACTCTACACTTTACAATAATTCTACACCAACTCTTAACTCTACACCAACTCTGCAACAACTCTACACCAATTTCACACTTTACACTAACTCTACACCAACTCTACATTCTACACGAACTCTTCACTCTACACCAACTCTACAACAACTCTACAACAACTCTTCACTCTACACCAACTCTTCACTCTACACCAACACCAACTTTATACTATACAACAACTCTAAATCAACTCTACACTCTACACCAACTCTACACCAACTCTACATTCTACACCAACTCTACACTCTACACCAATTCAACACGAAATCTACACCAACTCTACTCTCTACACCAACTCTACACTCTACAACAACTCTATACGCACTCTATACTCAATACCAACTCAACGCTCCACACCAATTATACACAACACCAACTCTACACCAACTCTACAATCAACACCAACTCTACACTCTACACCAACTTTACTCTGTACATCAACTCTACACTCAATACCAACTCCACACTATAAACCAACTCTACACCAACACCAACTCAACACTCTACAACAACTCTACACTCTACACCAACTCTACACCAACTCTACACCCATACCAACTCTACACCCATACCAACTCTACACCAATTCTACACCCATAACCACTCTACACCTACTCTACACCCATACCAACTTTACACCTACTCTACACCCATACCAACTTTACACAAAATCTACACCCATACCAACTCCACACAAACTCTACACTTTACAATAATTCTACACCAACTCTTAACTCTACACCAACTCTGCAACAACTCTTCACCAATTTCACACTTTACACTAACTCTACACCAACTCTACACTCTACACGAACTCTTCACTCTACACCAACTCTACAACAACTCTACAACAACTCTACAACAACTCTTCACTCTACACCAACACCAACCTCTACACCAACTCTACACCAACACCAACTTTACACTATACAACAACTCTAAATCAACTCTACACTCTACACCAACTCTACACCAACTCTACATTCTACACCAACTCTACACTCTACACCAACTCAACACGAAATCTACACCAACTCTACTCTCTACACCAACTCTACACTCTACAAAAACTCTATACCCACTCTATACTCAATACCAACTCAACGCTCCACGCCAATTATACACAACACCAACTCTACACCAACTCTACAATCAACACCAACTCTACACTATAAACCAACTCTACACCAACACCAACTCAACACTCTACAACAACTCTACACTCTACACCAACTCTACACTCTACACCAACTCTAAACTATACACCAACTCTACACTCTACACCAACTTCACACTTTACACTAACTCTACCCCAACTCTACACCCATACCAACTCTACACCAACTCTACACAAACTCTACACCCATACCAGCTCTACACCAACTCTACACCCATACCAACTCTACACCAACTCTACACCCATACCAACTCTACACCAACTCTACACCCATACCAACACTACAGTAACCAACTCTACACCCATAACAATTCTACACCTACTCTACACCCATACCACCTCTACACCAACTCTACACCCATACCAACTCTTCACTCTACACCAACTCTACACCTACTCTACCCCTACTCTACACCCATACCAACTCTACACCAACTCTACACCAACTCTACACCCATACCAACACTACACCAACTCTACACCCATACCAACTCTACACCTACTCTACACCCATACCAACTCTACACCAAATCTACACCTATACCAACTCCACCCAAACTCTACACCCATACCAACTCTACACTTTCCACTAATTCTACACCAACTCTTATCTCTACACACACTATACAACAACTCTACACCAACTTCACACTTTACACTAACTCTACCCCAACTCTACACCCATTCCAACTCTACACCAATTCTACACCCATAACCACTCTACACCTACTCTACACCCATACCAACTTTACACCAACTCTAATACAACAACTCTAAATCAACTCTACACTCTACACCAACTCTACACCAACTCTACATTCTACACCAACTCTACACTCTACACCAACTCAACACGAAATCTACACCAACTCTACTCTCTACACCAACTCTACACTCTACAAAAACTCTATACGCACTCTTTACTCAATACCAACTCAACGCTCCACACCAATTATACACAACACCAACTCTCACCCATACCAACTCTACACCTACTCTACACCCATACCAACTTTACACCAACTCTACACCCATACCAACACTACAGTAACCAACTCTACACCCATAACAATTCTACACCTACTCTACAGCCATACCACCTCTACACCAACTCTACACCCATACCAGCTCTTCACTCTACACCAACTCTACAACAACTCTACACCACACCAACTCTACACTATAAACCAACTCTACACCAACACCAACTCAACACTCTACAACAACTCTACACTCTACACCAACTCTACACCAACTCTACACCCATACCAACACTACAGTAACCAACTCTACACCCATAACAATTCTACACCTACTCTACAGCCATACCACCTCTACACCAACTCTACACCCATACCAGCTCTTCACTCTACACCAACTCTACAACAACTCTACACCTACTCTACCCCCATACCAACTCTACACCAACTCTACACCCATACCAACACTACAGTAACCAACTCTACACCAACTCTACTCTCTACACCAACTCTACACTCTACAACAACTCTATACGCACTCTATACTCAATACCAACTCAACGCTCCACATCAATTATACACAACACCAACTCTACACCAACTCTACAATCAACACCAACGCTACACCAACTTTACTCTCTACATCAACTCTACACTCAATACCAACTCGACACTATAAACCAACTCTACACCAACACCAACTCAACACTCTACAACAACTCTACACTCTACACCAACTCTACACCAACTCTACACCCATACCAACTCTACACCCATACCAACTCTACACCAACTCTACACCAACTCTACACCCATACCAACTCTACACCAACTCTACACCAACTCTACACCCATACCAACTCTTCACTCTACACCAACTCTACAACAACTCTACACCTACTCTACACCCATACCAACTCTACATCAACTCTACACTCATACCAAAACTACACCATACCAACTCTACACCCAT